GCCTGTTTAGCTGGTGGAATCCATTTCCTCACACCTTTATTTTGGGCTGGCCTTGTGACTTGCTTGTGGCAGAAGTGATTTGCGGGTTCTGCCTCCTGGGCCTTGTGAGGCCTGGCAGGCTTCTCTTTGCCATCCTGGAGTGCTCCAACCACATGCACTGAACTTCAGACTGTACTCCTGAGCTGCTAGAGGTCATCTGTGACGAGAGGTCCAGCCAACAGCCCCCACCACTGCCTGGGACGCGAAGGTGATGCCACTGCAGACTCTTAACCTCCGTCAGAGTGGCAGACAGCAGCAGATGCCTGAGTAGTCCCAGGCAAGGGTAGCAGGAGACCTGAGACGTGAAGGTGATGCCACTGCAGACTCTTAACCTCAGTCAGAGTGGCAGACAGCAGCAGATGCCTGAGTGATCCCAGGCAAGGGTAGCAGGAGACCTGGGACGTGAAGGTGATGCCACTGCAGACTCTTAACCGCAGTCAGAGTGGCAGACAGCAGCAGATGCCTGAGTGATCCCAGGCAAGGGTAGCAGGAGAACCTCCTGCTGAGCCCAGCCCATCATAGACGCATAAGAAATATTAACTTGTTGCTGCTCGAAGCCACTAGCGGAAATGGCCCTACCTTTCTAACTTCTCTCGTGGAGAAGCCTGTCGTAGACGTGGACGTTCAGAGCTCACAGCTGATGTTGTTCCCTGTCCCACCCTCCGTTGTCTTCACTCCTTTATGGTGGTGACCTGAGTAGTATCTATAAGAAAGAGGATCGAGAGAGCGCTATATTTAAAAAAAAAAAAAATGCCCTGTGCAAACTTTTCTGATCCTGAATGTTATTTGATGAACGTGACGCCTCTGATCTCCCCACTGCCCCCCTGGAGGTGCAGACTCGAGACTGGGGGCTGTCTAACAGCGTCCCTGACGTCAGGCTGTCCTGATGCGTGTTTCATTCTTGTTGGAGCTGGTATTTTTTAAGTTCTTCCTGTTGGCCTGTAGCGGAATTGGGCTGCTTCTTATGATGTAACTGTAAATACTTAAGAAACTCTTCCTGGGGTTGCAGAGGGAGAACACATGTACTTATTTGTTGGGTAGCTAAAAATGCCTGTGAAGGAAGGCATGGGAAGTTAGCAACACCTTTTGCTTTTAAGTTGGGAAATGTGGCCAGGGGATAGGAGTAGGGGAGAGGTCTTACACTTTTGTGCAAGAGAGGATCAACTATTGCTTTTTTTTTTTTAATTAAAAAGAACGAAGAGGACCCAGTTTGCTGAATGCTTTGGGGCTCCCAGTGCCATTCTGTGGGTTTCATACACAGGAGTTTGTGACCTGCTTCTGAGTGTGCTAAACCTTTACTGCATAATTACTGTCAAGAAGCATATACTTACTTGTTAGAAACCATTTGGAATTCCAGCTGAAGGGGAGGTTTTTATCTAATATGTATTTTAAAAAATAACAGGAAAGAGCCTTAAATGCATGGGTTCCTTCCTCTCCTGGGAGTGGAGACTTTGCTGTCTGGCCTGTTGCTTCCCAGCTCACTATGAAGTCTGACCTTCTTTCCCTCAGTTGGGACAGAACTAGGCCAGACCTGTAGTAACAAGGATTTGAAGGTGGGAAAGGGAAACTTACGGCCATGCAACCTTGGAAAATCACTTACCTTTGCCTCAGTTTCCCCACCTGTATAATAGGGTTGTGTTAATGCCTACTTTATAAAAGTGGTTGAAGGGCTAACAAACACATGAAAAGATGCTCAACATCACTCATCATCAGAGAAATGCCAATCAAAACCACAATGAGGTACCATTACACACCAGTCAGGATGGCTGCTATCCAAAAGTCTATAAGCAATAAATGCTGGAGAGGGTGTGGAGAAAAGGGAACCCTCTTACACTGTTGGTGGGAATGCAAACTAGTACAACCGCTATGGAGAACAGTGTGGAGATTTCTTAACTGGAAATAGAACTGCCATATGACCCAGCAATCCCCTTCTGGGCATACAGACCAAGGAAACCAGATCTGAAAGAGACACGTGCACCCCAATGTTCATCGCAGCACTGTTTATAATAGCCAGGATATGGAAGCAACCTAGATGCCCATCAGCAGATGGATGGATAAGGAAGCTGTGGTACATATACACCATGGAATATTACTCAGCCATTAAAAAGAATTCATTTGAATCAGTTCTAATGAGATGGATGAAACTGGAGCCTATTATACAGAGCAAAGTAAGCCAGAAAGATAAAGAACATTACAGCATACTAACACATACATATGGAATTTAGAAAGATGGTAATGATAACCCTATATGCAAAACAGAAAAAGAGACACAGATGTACAGAACAGACTTTTGGACTCTGTGGGAGAAGGCGAGGGTGGGATGTTTCGAGAGAACAGCATCGAAACATGTATATTATCTATAGTGAAACAGATCACCAGCCCAGGTTGGATGCATGAGACAAGTGCTCGGGCCTGGTGCACTGGGAAGACTCAGAGGGATTGGGTAGAGAGGGAGGTGGGAGGGGGGATCGGGATGGGGAATACATGTAAATCCATGGCTGATTCATGTCAATGTATGACAAAACCCACTACAATATTGTAAAGTAATTAGCCTCCAACTAATAAAAATAAATGAAAAAAATAAAAAAATCTAAAAAAAAAAAGTGGTTGGAGAATCAGAGATAAACTGTATAAATCATCTTGGCATAGAGCCTGATCCCTCATGTTGATGCTCAAAACTGATATTGGCACCATCATTACTGGTTAGTGTCTGTTGATTTTGGGCCCTTTGAGGAGTAAGGGATATGAAATTCTTTTCACTGAGCATGAAAGATGTTTAGAGGAAGGAGTGATCAGTTATCTGCTGGTGTGTAACAGAGTCCCACAAATTGCATGGCTTAAAGTATGAGTGAAACAGTTCCTCACCGTCCTGTGGTTTGGCCAGGTGGTTTCTGTCTCCTTAGACGTGTCTGTGTGTCTGCAGTCAGATGGTGGCTGGTGAGGCTGAGTGGTCCCCGAGGACTCCCTACCATGTCTGGTGGTTGCTGCTGGCTGCTGTTTGGAGCGAGTTGGTTCTCCTCTACCGGATTCTCCTGTTCAGGAGGCTAGACCAGCTTCCTCACAGCGTGGCAGTCGCGCATGCTCCAGGGTCACATCTCAGCTCGTTTCTGCTGCCTCTGATTTCCCACCGGCCAGAGTGAGTCTCAGGACTCATCCCAGGGGCACGGGGGAGGGGGGGCAGTGAAGCCTCTGCAGCTGTTTTTAACCTACCACACGCTTGACCTTAGCTAGCTGCATGGCGAATATTGGGCCCAGAACCTAAAGGTTCCGTTGGTTTCTCCAGTTTTCATGTATCGCTGATACCTTCGTTAGTCTGACAGGGGAGCTGATTAAGGAAGTGGAGGTATTTTGTTTGGACTGAAAGTTGGAGTGAAGGGTGATGGCTGCTTTGCTATATCTGAAGACCTTTCCTGTGAAGGAAGGACACGTCCCATGGCACGGACATGACTGGAAAGCGATATCTCCCCCACTTCAGGAAGGACTGCCACGTGAGATGTCCAGGCTTTTTGCTTGGAAGGAAAGCAGAAACTGGGTAATCAGGGGTTAGAGACTTTGCAGGAGTGTTTTCCTCGCTGGATGACTTGACTCATCTCTCATTCTAGGACTTGGGGAGAGCGCTGTGCCTTTTTTGCTGAGATGGGGTGGGGTGGGTGCCAGGAAGGGAAAGAAACATTGTGCTGAGACTGAAACAGTTACCCTGCCCTGAGGTTAAATCTTACTTAGTTTATAAGGTCAGGTTTATCTGTGAACCGCTGAGAGTTCACACTGACTGCTGGCATGAGGAACGTTTCTATTTAGTACAGTCAGGGTTGCTGCATCTTGAAGATAGGTTTTCTGTGCATCTTCTTGGGTTAGGAATTGAGAAAAGACGTTGAAAAAATAAATATGTACAGTTGTTCCAGGAGCTGCAGATTAAATTGTCCTCCCGTTCATGTCTAGTAAAAATGATTTTGGTGCCTCCTCACATCACGTGTTTTGTGCTATGCCAGGAGTGGTTTTGAGGTCTCCTGATTCTGTAGCAAAACTCCAGGCCCAGTTGGTGCTTCTGCCCACGAGAACGCTGTGTCCCAGAGCGTGGTCAGATTGTGAGCCTCTCCCCTTCCCCCTGTGGGTCGCTTCTCTGGAGGAGGAGGCGGGGACCCCTGCCTGCTCACCCTCTGTAAAGCTGCTGAGCACGTGTAGGTGTCGCCTTCAACTTTGACTGCTGTTCCTGGGCCAGCCAGTTTGGTCAATGGTGTTTTCTGTGGAGCCTGCCTCACTTCCGGCACTCGGACTATACGAAACTGAGAGACAGGCTACAGCACATACCAGCACTCAGACACAGTGGTGTTTGCTTTTTGGTGGGGAGCAGAATTTAAGCTGCACATAAATCACCCAGCTGAAGCAAAAGCTTGCTCTCCTGACTGGTGCATTTACAAGCTGGAAAATTGTGGAAAACCTCAACCCACCAACTGTGACGCTCACTGGTTCTTTGCTTTGGGCTTCGACGTTCTTCCTGATGAAAATAATAATTATGTTACTCTGACACGGTTGCCAAGTGTTCATGCCTCTCACTCCACGTGTGCTTATAAACGATGCTGCGGCGCGGATGCTTATTTGTCTTTGATCAGATGTTTCCCAACATTTGAGCATTCTGTTATCTGTGCTGATGTGTCCTTCTCTTCTCTTGCTTTTCAGAATGGACCGCTGAAGTATGAAGTATTTCAGACCCAGGAGGAGAGCGTCACTCTGCCACTCACTCCTTTCTCCCCTACTAGTTATTTAAATTGGGCTTTTAATATCCTCCCAGCTGCTCTTCAGCCACACATGGTGCATTGCTGCCATTCCCCGGATTGCATCTTTGACACACAGGCTCTTAGTAACCTTCAGCAAACAAAGAGGCCGCCTCCGGGGGCCGCTCACGGGGAGGGCGTCACCCCCTCCGCCCTCTAGCTTCGGTGGCTCTGGGTTGGAATTCCGCCATGGAGCCTCGCATGGAGGCCTGCCTGGCACAGGTGCTGCAGAAGGATGTGGGGAAACGACTGCAGGTTGGCCAAGAACTGATAGACTATTTCTCAGACAAACAGAAGTCTGCTGACCTCGAGCATGACCAGACCATGTTAGACAAACTTGTGGATGGACTTGCTACCTCTTGGGTGAACTCTAGCAATTATAAGGTAAGCCGTGTGCAAGAGGATGCTCTTCTAGGTGGCTGGGCTACCTAGGGGCATCAAAATGGGTCCTTTGAAGAGTCCTTTGAGAGCCATCAGCATGATTGATCCCTTGGTTTCCATTAAGACACTCAGTCACGTTGTGGCTTTTGGACATTTCATCCTAGAGCAAGTAGAGTTTTCTTTGATTTTGTTGGAGATCAGAACACCCTTACTCTTCAGTGTACTGAGAGAAGGCCGTGTGACCAGGTAAAGGGAGGCTTTTATGTGGAAAAGGTGCAGGTATTTGCAGCCTTGAAGTTAAAGTGACTATCATGTCTTGCAGTGAGTGGCTCTTTGTGGATAACAAGTGACGTCGTTGGTTTTCTTGGGGCTGGGGTGGGGATTGGCGGTAGGATGAGGGCTTCTTACCTTCAGGTCCCTACTTCGAAGCCGGCCCAGGCACCTGGCCAGCAGTAGCACGGTTTGCCAAGGGCTCTGCTGAGGCCTGTTGGTAGTGGCCTGGAGGTTCCCCTTCCTGTTCCAAAGGTCAGGGTTCCTCAGCTGCCCCTGGCGGGTGGAAGGGGGCAGGTGGGGCCTGTGATGCAGATGACTGGGAAGGCGGGCCTTGCTGCCCTTCAGGTGCTGAGTTTTCCGGAAGGAAAAGTGGGCTGGGCTTGAGGTGCTGGGCAGGCGCCACTGCCCCCTCCCCCTCCCAGCCTAAGTGTGTTGGGAAGCTGGCCCCTTTGGGTCTAGGTCGGGGTGGAGGGCAGAGTGGGCTGTTGCGTGATTGCCAGTAGGTGCTGTAGACCTTACAGACAAAGGGGCTTGCAGACACAGAACCTTCTGTGAGTTTTTTCATTGTACCGGTCTTCTGACACATGCGGACTCCTAACGGGTGCTTACAGGGCTTTGCTGTTTGCTCTAATATAGACTTTGTTTTCCAGTTACATTGAATCAATCTTATCTAACAGTCAGCAGGCTTTAGATTTATTAAGGGTGTTTACCTCAGTCCCTAATATTTCATTTACAACTGGCCGTAAAGTTTACCTTCTCTGACTTTGAAAGCTGAGCTTAAATTCTGTCTGTTTTATTCATCTGTTTATTCATTTAGCTGAACTTGCTAAGTACCTCTTACCTACTCTGTGCCGGTGCTGGGTGGTGGGAGTGTTGCAGAGGTAGACTGGAGACGTCCTTGAGGTCTGTGACGTCACCCTTGCTGTGTGCAAATTAGGATGCTTCTGGCTGAGAGTACCTGAAGGCTAACTTAGTTGACTTAAAGTTTGCATAAGGAGATTGATTAATTGCCTTTAAAACATAAGAAGTCCACATAGTTAAAGCAGTGGCTAGGGAAGAAGAATGACTGATTGTGTCTTTCACTTGGGAGGATGCCTTCTGTGAAGCTCCCCAGCAGACGTTTTTACATTACATTACAGCATCACTGGGAATGGACAGGTGTCCACAGTGGCCTTCAGCCATCACGCTTCACCTCCTGGTCTCATGAAGGGGTTCAGCCTCCCCTGAGTCAAACCTGTGGCTGTGTGGAGGGATTGGGTACCAGACTCCTGCTAGGAAGAAGGAGGCGAGGCAAGGGGCAGAGGTACATGGATGTTAAATAAGTAACCCACAGGTTTGCCGAACCGCAGGAGCTTTCCTAACCACCCTGGGCCTCAGTTTCCTCATCCGTAATGTGGAAACGTTATTATATACACTAAACGAGAGTGAATATACAGTCATTATGGAGAAGGAAGTGGCAGCCCACTCCGGTATTGTTGCCTGGAGAATCCCATGAGCAGAGGATCCTGGTGGGCTGCTCTCCATGGGGTCGCAGAGTTGGTCGCGACTGAAGTGACTTAGCATGCATGCATGCAGTTGTTAGATGGCAGCTGCATAATCAGCTTTCAGACATTCAGTCAGTGTCAAGACATGGTCCCTGTCTTCACTAAACTCGTAGTCTGGGAGGGGCGGGTAAGGATATATAAGTGAACGGTTAGTCAGTGTTGCGTGTGCAGTCATAAAGTGAAAGAAAGTGTTAGTCACTCAGTCGTGCCCAGCTCTTTGCGACCCCAAGGACTGCAGCCCGCCAGACTCCTCTGTTCATGGGATTTTCCAGCCAGGGACGCTGGAGGAGTTTGCCAGTTTCCTTCTCCAGGGGATCTTCCTGGCCCAGGATCGAACCTAGGTCTCCCGCATTGCAGGTGGATTCTTTACCAGCTGAGCTACCAAGGAAGCCGTAATAAAGATACACAGAATTGGTGGGAAGACAGAAGAAAAGTAGTAACACTGTCTAGAGGAACCCAGAGGTTTGAAGACTGGGCCTATTTTTCATAATAGGAATTGTAGGGTCACAGTGGAGTGAAAGATTAAGACTTGAGAACCTTGGTGAAGGAATTTCCAGGAAAGACAGCCCGGGAAGGAAAGGAAAACAGGGTTTGCTGCTGCCTTGCGTATGGTCACGGGCAGGGCATCTTGCCTACCTGTGCAGGGCGGGCGTTGGGCTTGCTCTCCGCTTGGGGCCTCACGTTCTGATGACTTGCTCGGCTTTGTGCTGATGGCTTTGGCGTCGGGGCCTCGCTGTGTGGTCCTGACCCTGCCCTGTGCTGGGCGCCCCTCTGGTCTGCCGGGCCTCTCAAGTGTGGTCGCCGTGTGTCCTGTTCACACTGAGGCCCAGAGCCTGAAGCCTCGCAGGCGCTCGGCACAGCCTGCCGCCCTGCGTGAGCTCGGGGGTTCAGGGACTCCCTGGCACATATTTCTGGCTGCGCTGCTGAGATCTGCAAGTGTGTTTTTTAGGGACCTCCACCTGTTTTTTTTCCTTAATCATGGATTGAGATTACTCAGTCAGAGCTTGAAGTACCCTTCAGGTTTTATTTGAAAGGATTCACTTTGTAATAGACAATTCTCTGAAGCTTGGCTTCTTGACATTTGTTTTTTTTGTTTTTAAAATCAGGACTAAAAAGATAAGGGGAAAAGAGAAGTACTTTTGACCTTCCAAAAGGATAGCACTTAGGTATTGTTATTCCTTTTCCCAGTAAGAGGTTGTAGATGAATGCCAACACAGTGTCTTATTTTAAAAAATAGTTCGCTGGAGCCTGGATCACTTTACCTTTGAGTATTAATGTGGTAGACAGGTTTGTACCTGTTTTTGATTAAGGTTTAATAGCTACTGATTCCTGCTTATGTACCATATGCATTTAATATCTCATGTAATCTTCATAACATTCCTGCAAAGTAGATGGTGGTATCCTAATGTTATGCATGAGGTCACGGGAATTACTGAGAATTAACAAGATAATTTTCTTTGTGATCATGGAACTGGGATTTAAATGTAGGACTCTGATTTCCTAGCCAGTGTTTCTTGCATTAGAATAGAGGCCAGCAAACTTTGTTAAAGATCACATGGTAAATATATTAGGCTTGGTGGGCCCTGTGGTCTTCTTGTAAATATTTAACTAGTTTGGGCCATTATAAATGAAAAAGCAGCCCCAGATAATGTGTTCATGAGTGGCTATAGCTGTGTTCCAGCAAGACTTAATTTACATAAACAGATGGAGATGGCTGGCCCCTGGACCGTAGTTTACTAGCCCCAGCACTAACTGAAACATTGAGCACCTATGGTGTGTAGATACTTTTCTTTACTGGTGGGACCTGTTCATGATTCATTTGGGAGAAGAGTGAGCCTTATAATTTGTACCTGATTTGGGAATAGGGGAAGCCATCATTTTGATAGAACTCAGTTTGCTTTTGGAGCATCTTATATGATATTTTAGGAAGCCTGCCTCTTTGGATCTTTCATGCAGCCTCATTTTAGGCTCAGTATATGTTCTGTTAACCTGTCACTGATTGTTTACTGTGAGCTGACTTTGCTGAAATCAGCCTCTGTGCACTCGTACCAGATTGAATCTCGGAGACAAGAGTTTTGGGTGAAGTAGAAAAGAATAGCTTTGTTGCTTTGCCTGGCAAGAGGCACAGCAGGCTTCTACCCCCCAAAACTGTGTCCCTTGAGGTGGAACCAGGACCCAGCCTCAGGGCTGCACTGTTTCTTGGCTGCTCCTCACTTGTCTCTGCATCCCTTCCCTTCCTGGATTAGCAACTGTTCCATCTGCCCTTTGGAACTCAGGGAAAGTCAAGGAGGCTGATCGTGCCCAGGAGCCCCTACAGGGTCCTGCTTGGTCCCGGCTTTGGACGTTGTTGGGTCATCTTGGGGAGTGAGTAGCTGGTTATTTAAGTAGTGTCCTCCTACGGCTGGAACACCCCAGGACTACACCCTTACCCCCAATCCAGGGTGTCACTGCGAGGACTTGATCAGTCTTCTGTGATGTCACAGACACGGAAGAGGCGGAGTCTTTGTTTGTTTATGAGACTTCTTTTCTAGACTCTGTGTGTGTGTGTGTGTGTGTGTGTGTGTATGCTCAGTTGTGTCCAACTCCATAGACTATCCCGCCAGGCTCCTTTGTCCATGGGATTCTCCAGGCAAGGATACTGGAGTGGGTAGCCATTCCCTTCTCCAGGGGATATTCCCAACCCTGGGATCGAACCCGGGTTTCTTGCATTGCAGGCAGATTCTTTACCGTCTGAGCCACCAGTGCCAGAAGTTATGCTAAATATGTGTTCATTTTTAACTTCAGATGAGATGGATCTTGCTATAGTCATTTAACAGAGGAGGACATTGATGGGCAGATAAATCAGGTAACTTGATCAAGATGACAGAGCCAGTGATCAGGGTTTCTGGGCTCTGAGCCTAGGTGTTCGTGCAGTGACTGAAGTGAATGAAGCCCTGATCCCGTATGTATAGTGCCCTGAGGCCTGGGTATCCCTGAGGAAGCAGGCCAGGCATGGTCCCCTCCTCAAGGAGGACTTGCTGGCTGGCGCTGGGCAGCCTTGCTCTGTCTGAATCTGATGCGTGCGGACACCACCCAGTGCGCTGCCGTCTCACGGCCCAGACCATGCTGGCTTGGAATCTGTAGGATCTCTTTTAACTGAGGGCTTCCTTAATCTCTGCCCTGCCGGTCTTAGTTGACTGTTCATGG